AATTCCGACTCCTATTCAAACCTTCCGCACACTTATGACGGCGACAGCGCTTCCAATACTGTCTTAATGGGTGACTACAACTTCTCTCCCATCGATTACGAAGTCTTTACTCTCATTACATGATTCTATACTCATATTTACATTTCATTAAACATTTTCTATTAAATGATGTGACAATACGTTTAAATTGTAAACAATTTGTGCTTTACTATATATTTACTATATATACTATATAGTATTACTGTATATTAACCATACAAACTAATGTATCAGTTGTATCAGGTAAGTCACGTTATTCTTTAATTATCCATCATTTATTTTAAAATCTAGATACTTTTATAAACAAAATTACAACATGCAGTAATTTACATTTGAGGCATTCATGAGTTTCGCACTTTGACTATTTATAAACTGTTGTCAAACCCCGTGGTCTTTAAATACCGGGTTTTGTAAATCAAATGCAACTGGGTCCATTCTAACATTCCAAATTGATCGTTTACAAGTAAAGCAACTTTATTCGTATTCTCTGTCCCGTTTGAATGTGACAATCAATTGACAAATTGGAAGCTCAACTTGTCAGCTATAGAATATAATCTACTATAATCTACTATAATCTACTATAATCTACTATAATCTACTATAATCTACTATAATATACTGGCCATATTATGGTCAATTTGATTAATCCGTCAAATTCTTACATGTGTGCCAAAATATTTGTAACCACAATTGATTGCATTCATGTTTACTGTTAAAACACATGACTTGAAATACAGTTTTCATCTAAATTGGCTTCTATGCGGTGTGTAAGGATGGGGGCTATAATACATATGTATAATACATGTGTATTATTCCATGTATTATTCATGTATTATACATGGCAAAATTTGCCATACATACAACATGGCGTCAAATATTGACATTATTTGCTAAAAATAGACAAAATTTGCCAAAACATATGTTATTTTATAAATTTATTTTTAGATTATAAAAAAGTAAATTATTGTTTTAAGGAATNTGTTATTTTATAAATTTATTTTTAGATTATAAAAAAGTAAATTATTGTTTTAAGGAATAATGATGCAAAAGCAATTATATCTACGAAAATATCCATTCTTTAGTATAGACATAAGATCATAGATTAACATTGCCCATAGGTTATCATTAGCTTCTATTCTTAAGCATTGTATGTAATAATACATGAATAATACATGGCAAAAAAAATTTCATGTATTATCCCATCCCTAGCGGTGTGGCTTATATTGGCTTAACATTACTGTATCATAAGTAGCGTTCGCCACGAAACGACCATAGCGTTAGATGTCACTAACTATACCTGTATTCCTATATTAACATCACATAGAAGGTAGCGCTTTAGGGTTCGTGGTTGGCATTTGGCGAACGCTAATCATAAGTCTGTATGCATAACTTGGTGTCTTTTCTATGCGCAATTCACTTACACTTAGTCATGTTATTCTGGATTCACTATATTTTGGATATTCTTCGCACATAAATTACGTAAAGAAATCACAGTTTAGTTTAATAAAAGTTTATTCAACAAAAAACATAACAATTCGTGGACGTTACTATTCGGCGAAGAATATCCAAAATATAGTGAATCCAGAATAACATGACACATAAATTACGTAAAGAAATCACAGTTTAGTTTAATAAAAGTTTATTCAACAAAAAACATAACAATTCGTGGACGTTACTATTCGGCGAAGAATATCCAAAATATAGTGAATCCAGAATAACATGACTAAGTGTATTAGTGGTTGCATAGTATTAAAAGTCCATAGGTTTAGCTTGTTTTAGTCCATAGTTATTACATGCCGTTAGCCTATAGCCGGGATAGACTGTATTACTGTTAACAACATTTTCTAAAATATAATTAAAGTGACATTTTTATCGTTCGGTTCAAAAAGGGTTATATTTTCGATCGACAGCATGTGTGACAAATGGCATTGTTTTATGATTTACATAATTAACACATAATTAATGAACTTTATTGCGAATATAGACACCAAATGTGCATTTTTGCACTCATTCTTCACATACTTTATACTCTAAAAGCTTATGTTTGTATCATTTGTATACAGAATAATGGGGTCTAACATAAAAAATGTATTGTTAAATGTGTGGACATGTATGCAGTAATACATGAATGATATGAATGTATTTTTATTTGATTTTGTAAACATATGACGACATGTGATTGGCTCTCAACTCTCTGGTCATTCACAACATGTGTTGAATGAAATGGAGTGAATGTATTGAAGCGTTTGTATTGAGTTGTATGGCTTGTATGGCTGGGGTCTCGCACTTGGCTTCTAATGGTAACGGTGTTTGTGAAGAGCTGTGGTTTGTCTGCATTATTGGTGTAGTAATGAAATGAGTGAATGACTGCTAAGACGTGTCAACCAATCAAATATCACTTAATGTTGTCTTAATTACAATCAATTGAATTGTCATTAAATAATGATTTGATTGAAATGTTGTTTACATATTGAGACCAAAAGACACAACAATTATATCAAAGTTTATGTGTATATAATGTTTGCTCAATAATGCAATCAATAGTCAAACATATCATAAGTGGTTAACAATGTCTTCATTAGTGAACAAAAACTGGTCAACAAATGCATCAAAAAAGGGTAAACTATAAGACAATTGGCATTTGAATGATATATTGTTTGATAGAGTGATCACATGTCCTCTCAATGTTTTGAAGGTAACGACAAATGCGAACAAAAGTCGAAATCAACGCTAAATAAGTTGAGGAAAAGATTGAGTTTAAGACTCGACAAGTTATGTAAGTATTGAATATTGATATGAATGCCTCAATCCATGTCTTAATGGGATTGTGTTATCACATGAATAGCGCTATCGAGAGAACAATTGCCTGAACTTCACAACGAGAATGGAGTATAGATTGACATAGAATTGCAATTTTGAAATGTTATTAAATGATTGATTGATTTTGTTGTCCAGAATGTGGAGATCACCAGAATCTCAATGAATGGCAATTATTTAAGCAATGATACGACCAGTGCTTCAAATTCTCGATTTAGTCGATTAAACGATGAAAAGCATTCAAATAGTGAACCAAATGGTAAGCAATATATATAGTGATTGTTTGTAACAAAAGCTAATGACAAACATTGAATATATAGAGAATGCCAAACACGACATGACATGCAAGCAAAATGTGTGCGAAAGTGAATCTCTGTGTCCACCGCCACCCCCTCCGCGGACCACTTCATGCAAATCTAGTGATTCTCATTCCGACCAAAACTTATTCGACAATTCAGTTGTTTGTGATATGAAAGCGAAGAAACAGATGGAAACCATCGAAGAGAGAAAGCATTGCAATTCAGAATCGGCTGAAGTGAAAGCTCCGAGTTTTATGCGATCATTGCATTCAAAACATTTATTTTCAAGAGTCAAAAGTCGTCCCAAATCTGATGTTTTTATTCCAAACAATTCAATTGGATTTCCGGTTCCCATCTCTAAGTCTACTCGATATTCAACCATAGATTTTACGGTAAGTTTGAAGAACTGAATACATGACACAATACATGAATGATTCACTTCTAGACAAACAGTTTATCGTTTGGTAAAATGGAATCATATGTCAAATTAGAGCAATTAGGAGAAGGCTCTTATGCCACCGTTTATAAGGGTTACAGCAAGTAAGT